TTTTTTTTTTTTTTTTTTTTTTTTTTTTTTTTTTCCAAAGAGGTACGAAAAATGATCTTCAAAAGATACCGCTATCGTTACTTCTGCCGCTCATCTTACGGCAGATATCGATAGTCGGTAGTGTGGAGATTTTTACCCACTAAAAAAAACATTCCTCTTCCCCTCTCCCCTAGATGGTACGGGGAGGACTGGATTGGAACCGCGTTAGCATTACTTCAATCCAGCCGTGCTGCGTCTCACGACGCCTACTCCTGGCTACTGGTCTCTTTCTGCGATTTTGTCTTTCAGGAGGTGCTGTGCATAAGCTGCAACAGCTGACCAGTTTTTCTCTTTTTTGATCATATAGGTCACCAGGCTTGAGGGGGAGAGCCTGGTGCCAATGATCTCTTCGGTGCTTCTTCTGTAGTCTTTCCACCGAGCACACTCAAAGAATGTGTGTTCGGCGTCGTCGATTTTATCCGGGCAGTATTTGCATGTTGGTGTGTTGTGTAGACCCATCTTGAAGAGATAGGCGTTGTACTGCCCATGTCCTGTCAGTAGTTGGGTCAGGAAAAAATCCGTGTCCCCGTGTTTCCGAGAGAGCCAGGCGTTGATGTTTGGGATCAGTCGCGCTGTCCATCTGCCTGTCTTTCCCGACGTCCATCGGTCCTGCCACTCTTGCTGCGTTTCCGCCTTTATCCTCGTTCTTGCGTCCTTCATGTTTTCGTCACTGATTTTAGCGTCATAGAGTTTTGCTCTTTCGAACGCTAATAGGTCAATGGGCGCGGCTCCTGTAATGACCAAAACAGCCGCTTCGGAAACCGTGTGGTAGGCGCAGGCAACTCTGAGAGCGCCTCGCCGTTGCACTGCTGCCATTTTCCGCCGGTAGGTCTTCTGCTTTAATGTGTCTGCCCATATCTCTGCTCCATAAAGCAGTATCGAGTGGACTGCTTCTAGAAGAACTCTTCTCTTTTTTGTTCTTGGTCCCATGGTGTTGGTCATAATTCGTGCTAGGCTAGACACAGTCTTGCTGGCTTTCTTGCATGCACTGTCGAGGTGTTCACGGAAAGATAGTTTCTCGTCTATCATTACCCCTAGATAGCGCAGGGCCCTTGTTGACGTGAGTGTTGTCCCTCCCATGTCCATAGCGAATGGTTTTGGGAACCATTTTTGGCGAGTCAGAACGACCATCTCGGTTTTGTGCTTGGCGAGTTTCAGGTGGTGTTTATCGAGCCAAGTCTCGACAGCATCAATGGTTTCCCGAACTAGTAGTTCGGCCTCCTGTACGCTGTCTACTATTATCGTGGCCGCGACGTCGTCTGCAAAGCCCGTTAGCTCCACTTGCTTTGGCAACGGGATTTCAAGAAGCTCGTCGTAGTCCGCGTTCCATAGATCGGGCCCCATTATTGAGCCTTGCGGCACGCCAGCCGTTATGGCGTATTCTTGTGGGCCTTTCGTGGGTGGGTGGTGTGTGTGTGTGTGTGTGTGTGTGTGTGTGTGTGTGTGTGTGTGTGTGTGTGTGTGTGTGTGTGTGAACACCTCTTATAACTTTTGAACGGCTTAACCGATCAGATCGAGATTAGTGGAGATCTGAAGCATATCATTGCCCTTAAATTTCGTGAAAATTTGAATCAATTTCGTTCGCTAGATCTTGAGAAATCTTAATAATAATATTTAAATAAAATAATTTTTTTGAAATATCTTTTGAACGGCTCCACTGATCAATCCCTAAAACTATTTCGCTTTTAAACTTGAAAGACCACCTCGATTTCTGCCAGTTCCGTCAAAATTGGTTGATTCGTTCGAGAGTTATCGAAAACAAAGAATTTCGAAAAAAGTGTTGTTATTACATAACTTCGACATTTCTTTTTGGATCTTTTTTGATGGAATTAAATAAGTATTAGAGCTCAAAAAACCACGTTGAACGCCGCCAAGAACGTGAAAATCAGTTCATTCATTCGAGAGTAATTGCAGTTTGAAAATTTAAATAATAGTGTTTTTTTAAACTTCTATCAGACTCTTAAGCTCAAAGAGCTCAAAAGCTTAGAACAGCTAACTCTTTTAGCTCGCAGAGCTCAAAATAACATACAAATTATTATTATTATTAATTATTATTATTTTAAGCGCTTAGATATGGAAGTTCCAGGGATGGCCTTTAAGGTCAACCGTTTTCCTAATTTTTTTATTAGTGTATGAATGTATTAAATAGGCTATTCATTTAAACCGGTTAAGACGGCTAAAAAAGTTAACCAGGTTAACTATTAGCTAACCCATCAGCTTAGCCGGTTAACTTGAATTAGCTAAGCTAATCAGCTAATTTTTTAACCGGTTAAAAAGTTAAATTAATTTTCAAAATAGATATATTATGGGGCATTCCATACCAAATTGACCACTGTTGACCCCGACCCTTTTAGATTTTTCTAAAATTTTTGTATCTTACTCAAATACCCTGGAGAAAACAATTTTCAGAATTTTTTTACCCAACCAAAAAAAAGTTACGAGTTATTTAAAAAAAATAGCTTTATTTTTTTGTTAAATAACTATAACTTTTTGAAAATTAACTTATTGGGATGTTTTTTTTTGAAATTTTCGTTTTTAAATGTACTTTTTAGAAAAAAAAATAGAAATAATTCGGATTCATATTGATCGTTGCTTTTTAAAATTTTAATTTTTGATCTAACTTTATTGAAAAATAATCAAATCTTATCGATGTCACTTTTAATTGTTGTTTTTATTTTTTTTTCTCAAATTTTAAAGTTTTCTAAATTTGCTGAAAAATTTTCAGTAGTAAAACGAAAAATAAACATTTGAAAAAAATTTTTTTTTCATTACTAAAAAAAAATAGAAAGAAAAAAAATGCCACTCTGAAAATTTAAGGAAATTTGCAGAAAATACTGGTTTTTTATAAAAAAAACAAAAAAAATCGAAAATCTAAAATAACAATCATCCCGAAATTTTCGTTTTATTCCAAAATTTTAAAAAGAAACGATCAATATGAATCCGAATTATTTCTATTTTTTTTCTAAAAAGTACATTTAAAAACGAAAATTTCAAAAAAAAAAACATCCCAATAAGTTAATTTTCAAAAAGTTATGGTTATTTAACAAAAAAATTAGGAAAACGGTTGACCCTGAAGGACATCCCTGCAACTTCCCGCCAATTCTATAGCTAAACGCTTGAAATTGCACTTGTGACGTTTTTGAGCTCTTCGAGCTCATAAATACAATTTGTGTGTTATCTTGAGCTCTCCGAGCTCAAAAAATAGATTTTGTATGCTTTTGAGCTCTTTGAGCTCAAAATTGTGATAGACGTTTGATAAAACACTATTTTTTTTGAATTTTCAAATCGAAATAACTTTTGAATGAATAAACCGATTTTCACGCGGTTGGTGGCATTCGACGCAGTTTTTTAAGCTTCATGAAGAATTTCCAAGTTTAAATTGATAGAACGGAAAATTTCGGAGTAATTCCGAAAAAACACTTTTTTCGGTTTTCTTTCGTCAACGATAACTCACGAACGAATCAACCGGTTTTGATCGGACTGGCAGCGATCGACGTGGTTTTTTGATATCAAGAGCTGATTAGTTTTTAGAATTGATCGGTAAAGCCGTTTAAAAGTTATTCCAAAGAAACCCCATTTGAAAAAAATTTTTAACTTCCCGCTAAGAAAATTGAAAATTTTCAAAAGTAAATTAATGACTCAAAAAAAGCCATTCTTAACACTTGTCGGTAACATCTTGAATCAATGTTATCGTCTATCTTGAACCAAGAGACAAAATTTCTTGAAAGAAATATATCTAAATAAGTTTCAAGAGTTCAAGTTTTGAAGAAAAAAAGTTTTTTGAATCAAGATTGTTTTTCTATCACTGTACAGCTAAGAAAATAAGAAATATGATGTATAATATAAAATACATCTATAAAACATAAATGAGCAAGCTAGTTATGTTGAAACACAATAATAATTAATTTTTCGGTTGAGAAGCAATACACAGAAAAAAACAAAAATTTTGAATTTTAGTAGACGTCACAATACTCAACTTTTACGCAATACACACTTATTTTTAAAGTCATATATAATTGTATGTGCACTCAGCGAATATTTAATTAATTTTCACTGTTGGAAACTTAATTTTAATATGTATTTCCAGGTAATTCATTGCACTGGCCGTCCAATGATAAGTGGAGGTCCTGAAGTGTATGATAAGAAAATGGGTAACGATATTGACGAAACTTTGTCCAGTTTAAGATCAGAAGATCAAAATGAAATCGGAACAGAAAATACATATGGATCTATCAGTACTGCGTTAGTCATGGTTGGATGCCCAATACCTCATCCAAGCAACATTGAGATTCCCCTGGGTCGTCAAACATTTTTGTCTAAACATAATCTTAACATGAAATTTACATATGTTGATGAAAGGTTTGTGTCACACAATCTTTAGTTTAAGCATGACATGTCTAGTATATGAATATTGTCTATTATAATAACTGATGACTCTCTATTCTGTAGCTGTAATGTTCATTTCAATTTTTCACTTAAATAAACAATAATATTACAATTGAAAGTCTCTCCAATCCATGCACGGTAAGAAATATTTTGCGAACATTACTATGCGAGTTTTGCTGTAACCACCATTCTGTATGACATCCAAGGTTTCTATTGTTTTCAAAATTGTATGAATAGGTTATTTTATAATCATAGGAATAGAAATATTAGCGACAGTTAAATTATATTATTTGACCAAACTCATTATCAGTCCAAATTTTAGAAAAATATGAAAAGTGGTTGACCTTTCAGA